TTAATTAATCTATTTTATCAAATCCAAATTCAGAGCACATATCAAACACAACTACACCCTTCAATCCAAAAAAATTCATTTATAGATCTATTACCAAACTCTTGAAATTATCCGAAACATTAATCTTATTTTATTTTCCAAAAATCAAAGTCATTGAAAACAACATCGACTTTGCAAAGGTCTTACAAAGTCATTATCTACCTAAATCCCTCAAAATCAATGCCTATAGAAATCTTATCAAATGTCTTCTTGTAGAATATTTAAATAAATTTTGTGGTAAGTTATTGGTTGGTTATTGATAGCCTTGAGAATTAGACTTATGGTTAGGCAGTTTAGTTGGTAACAGTAGGTTGTTAGTGGAACAAATGGTTAAGAATTCAAAAGGTTCATAACCTTTGGAATCTGTTGGCCGACAGTCCATCTTTTGGTAGGATAAAGAAGTTAAAAAAAGGGAGATTGGGGCCAGACTGTGGGAGTCGTAAGCCGGAGTAAGCTTGGTGCTACCTCTTTGTTTTTTTTGCTTTTATTATTTGCTTATGAAGAATTGTGATTGAGAGAAGTATTGTTGAAACTGTGATTAGAATATTATAGAATATGACTTTGGACTGACTGTTTTAGAAAGAATCTATGACCTTGAGAATTGAGATTATCAAATTGTGTTGTACTAAGTAAAGATATTGAATTCTGGGTGATGAATTGAGAAACTGAATATAATAAGTAAGCTGGAGATCAGTAATTGAATATATATAAACTGCAAAGAGAGTAAGTGGGAGATGAACTGATAAGAATATGGAAGTATTGCTGAATTGATAGTCGTAGAATGGACTATGTATTGAATTAAGATAGGAGTAGTAAGCCTTGGTGTTTTGTAGTTTGATAATTGATTTCAGATTGCTAAAGTACAGTCAATTGTGACGCTAACAGACCCAATTCATATAACTAGTCTTTCTCCGTATTCAAATCCATGTCTATTAGTTTAATTGCTTTGGTATATTGAAGCTTGAACACAATGAGAACAATACTTCTTCAATCCTATTCTTTGATCAACCAAAGAATCCTAAAATCATTGTCAAGGCTTAGTTTTGTGCCTTGGGGTCTAATTTTGATCCTAGTTGATAACCAATCTTCTCCGGGTATCAAGTTTTATATCTTTTGAAATAAATTCTATAAAAACCAACTCCTAACTCTCTCCTATATATGCCTATATTTTTTATTTTTCTAATCTACCTTATTTTGCCATATTTATGATCCTACAAAGTAATTAGAAGCTACTTTTTAAAAAAAACAGCATCACTACTAAAAGTTTTACTACCTTCTTATCTTTTATCTATATTTTTTTATTTTATCTTTTAACTTGGATATTCTATAATAAGATCCATATTATTATCTTTCACCATGTAGTTGTGTTAGAACATAATAATATACATAGAAGTGAGCAAAGAATCTTATAAATAAAATAAAGAAGATTAAAACTTTTCATCAATAATATCCATCAAAACCAAGATGAAGAATAACAAATCTTTGTTATAAAAGAAATAAGCTTTAAGGATGATAGTATTCTATCTTCTATTTTTATTTGTAATTTTTGTGTATTTTTGATGCTAAGGAGATAAAAAACTTATAATGAGCACATTCAATTTAAAAGCTTTTACTTACTAACTTATTGGACAAGACATTGTAATTGTCACAATCTTCAAGATAATATAATTAAGATGAAGATCTTCAAGAATAACATGAATTTCTTCAAATAGATGTCAAGATACAATGTATTTGGTATTATAACCTTGGAAGAGACTCCCAATGTTTGGTAATTTTATTAGACATAGGAACAATTCTTGACAATGTTTTAGATATTTTATTTGAAGAGAGTTAGAAAAGACTCAAAAATAATCAAATAATAGGGTAGTCTTTTTGTTTTAGTATGAAATATGATTAATTCTTAAAAAGACCTATCAATTATATTTAAAGAGAATAAAGTTCAAAGTATGTAATAAATACATTTCATTGCATCTTAAATTTTTTTAATATATGATGAACGCTCCTTGAGGAATAATAATATTACAAATATACATATTTATTCTAATATTTACTTGTACGATTAAGTAGAAGTATGTAAAAGTAGATTTATATCATAATATTTTCTTGAAAAGCTTCCTAAAAGCTTCATAAACACTGCTTTGATTTTACATGTGTTTGTAATTGATTGGTGTGTTAGAAACTTAGTCAACAAATTAATCACATATTGATAGATTGTGGAATAAGTTAATTATGTGGCATATACATAGAAACTTGCTTTATAAGTTAAGGTATGTATCTTATAAAGTCAATATGTTTTGAAGGTCATTTAGGACATTGCTATATTGTTCCTAATTAAGTGTATATATGGAGGCAAGAGTAAAGCCTTCTTCATTCTTGTCAATGCCTTTTTAGTCTTTAGTCTTACTTCAAGACTTCTTAGTCTTCTTGTCTTTGGTAATAGCTATTTTAGTTTAATATTATATCACCTTTGATTAATTATCGAGTCTTTTTGAATGATACAAGAATATCTTGATCTTTTAGTTCTTCAAGATTTATATCATTGATAGTTTTTAGAACATAAAAGTGCTTCTAAGCACTTAGAGATATATCCAAGTGAGAGAAATAGTGTGTTCATAGACATATTTTGAAGTTTAACAAAATAAAATATAAAGTTAAAGATAATGAAGATAATAGAGATCTAAATGAAAATAAAGAATGTCAAAAAAATAAAAAAGAAGCCTTTTATAATTTTTAAGATCAATAATAAAGACAATTAAAATATATAAAATGATAATTATAAGGAGTATCAATCTTTGAATTAAAAAAACAAGCTTTAAAAACAAAAAGCTTTAAAGAAACTATGAAGTGTAATAAAACAAATCTTCTTCAAAATAAATAATATTTTATTTAAAAATAAGAAGATCACTTAGTAAATAGTGAAAGAACTATATTTTTCTTCAAGTATATCATGAACATATCAATGTTGCACTTCCTATTAATTTCTTGAATTTATAAAATGCAATGAAGTCTACAAATTCTATGAAGTGAAAGAAGACCATAGAAAAAAATACCATTCACTTATAGACAATGAAATATGAAAATTGACTAAACTTCTATTAAATTGATCTTTAATTAATTATAAGTAGATATTTGAATATTTAGTTTATAACTAAGTTGTAAATAGATGTTTAGAATATTTGATTTGTAATTGAAATATTTACAACTAAGTGGATTTTGAGAACTAAGAAGGATGTAATAGACAATGTTCTGAGATGTAAAGTAAATTTAGTTGCTAAAAATTACTTACAAATTATTGATATTATTTTTAATTAGATATGCTATTATAGCCAAATTTACTATAATTAGAAATATTATCATAATTAAAGTAGTGATAAACTTAGAGATGTAAATGATAAAAGTTCAAAAATAGACCATGTGTTCTTTTTAGATTAGAAGAAATCTCATGAATTACAAGAGATAACAAACAATTGCAAGGTATAAATTAGACATAGAGTCCATGGCAACAAATCATGGTGTAATAGAGATAATTTAAGTAAAATAAGTTTTAGAAGATATTAGACTTGCGGTATTAGAAGGAATTTCAATAAAGTATGACAATTAAAGATATATTTCTTTTGAAAAGAATTCAAAGTATCAATCAAGAACCAAATAAATTGACATTTAACATCATTTTGTATATGAGAAAATTGATATGCATGTGATTGATATGAAGTATTGTGCAACAAAAGACATGCTTATTGATTTGTTTACAAAAACATCAGTAAAGAATAGATACCACATATTAATAAAGACACTAGGTTTAAAAGCCTTTGATTAATAGCAAGTGGAAGTATTGAAGTACATTATAATAAATTAGTAAATATAGAATAAATTATAATAAAAAGACAATATCTTAAGTAAGTTGCTAGTAGTTAAAGAAATGATTATTGAAATGTAGAAGATCATAAAGTATATACAAAAGAATATTTTGATGGTAGGTAGAAGTCAAAGAATATTTCAATAATAGATGAGATGCTAAATACCACCACATATAAGTAAAAAGTGGTAGAAGTAAGAAATATCTTATTCCATGCTTTTTTTTGTATGCAACCTTGTTGATATTGAATATTAGGTTTTTTTAAAATAATTATTTAATAATTATTTAAAATTTAAGATAAATAATATTAAAAAAATAAAAATTTAAGAATTTATATTTTATAGATTATTTTATTACATATAATAATAATAACTTGATTATTACATTTGTGTATTCACTTATTTATTCTTTTGTGATGTAAAAATTTTAAAAAATTAAGTTAATTAATTAATTATAATTTATTTAATTCTTAAGAATTATTTACACCTTATACTTAAATTTTCTTCGAAAAGCTTTTGTAGTAACTTGATTAATAAATCGAGTTACTTGCATTCAAAGTCATATTAATTAAAATACATTGAATAGTCCATACATGTTAATATTAAATGAAGATGAATGGAGATGTTTCTTCATATTTATTTTTTAATAATATCTTTTGTATTTGATTTTAGATCCAATTTTTAAACATAAATTTAGAGAGGATTCCATTCAACCATTCTTAAATCTTTTATGCTCAATTAAAAATTTTAGGTCACTCAATATTTTGCAATTTGAAATATAGAATTATACACATACACACGTAACAAACAAATACTTTCTTCTTTACTTCTTTCATTTTCTATGTTTAGTTAGAGAAACACATAATTTATATTGACCAGTTCCAATCCAAACATTGAATGTGCCTCCCACACACATCAAAATTTACAAACACAATCAACTTTATATTTGGAAACAATTACTAAGTTTCCATTGCAACAACATGGAAACCCTAATTTTTCACCAGGAAGGGAGGGAGTGCGGGGGACGACGACGACGACGACGACGATAGTGGTGTGTGTACATGGCGACTCGACAGTTGGTGCCGTGAAAGCTCGTGGATCTCCTGCCATGGCAGATTTGCATCCGTGATTGCAGTGGGTGCCATGTTGGCGTAGGTACAAGAGCCAGTTGGAGTAGAAAGGAATGGAAACAAACGATAATCGGTCCACTAATTGTTACTGCGCTAATCTGCATGTGATTGCTAGATTTCTATTCCGAATCACGCATATCTCGTCACAGTCCACCATCTTCACTGGTGGCGAGTATGATTTTGGAGACGTACAGCTTTCTGCAGTCTTTGTGGGTTCAGATGTAATGTTTCTTACGTCTCTCCAAGGATTCCTTTGCTTTTCGATGACTACGCAGGATAGACTCCCAGAACAGCTGCGATAGTTGCAGCGGAATTTGTGGAAGTTGTTGACGGAGATCAAGTTTGTTTGCCGGCTCGGCAGTGATTGTGATTGTCGATGTGCAGGACTGCTGAAAGAGGGTGAGTGCGACAGAATTACTGCTTCGGTAAGATAATGGATTGAAGATCATGTTCATTAGAAACTGTAGTGGAGCAGCTGCAGTTAGCGGCGACTGGGCAAATCTCAAAGCCATGCGAATTGCAATCGGGTTATTCAGTTGGGGTTTGTGAGCCGTGAATTCTTTGTCTCGCCGAGTGTCTCTCTCTCTTTAATGGTATTTCAGCTGCACCTCCTTGTTTCTTGCTTCGTTCTTGGAACCGTCAAGGTTTTGAACTTGGCTGACGAGTTCGTCGTATGTGGAGCTTTTGGATTCGAAACAAAGCTTGTGTGAAGTGCTAATTTGCAGTGTACCCATTTATCGGATTTGTCACTAGTTTTCTTGTGGAATCAAGTTCTAAAGTTTTGTGTGACATGTCTAGAGAGGATATCTAACAAAATCTGAAACCCTGGTTCACCTTTTTTTTACCCGTGGTGCTCACAACAAGGGATGTCAAAAGTTGCTGAGTTTGCATTGTTAACTTTAAATTTATGCACCGAAATTGACAGGATCAAGAAATGACACAGAAAAGGTGTCGTTGGAGAAACACGTACCGAAACCCGCTGGCGCAGGTCATCATTTTGGGGCTGATTTGCTTCTTGTTGCCGGGCATGTTCAATGCTATCAACGGCCTTGGTGCAGTTGGCAAGGCAGATGCAACTATCACTGACAACGCGAACACTGCTCTTGCAGTCACATTCGCAGTCTGCTCTATACTTGCAGGGGTTTGTTCCCACTTTTTCACATTGAATATATCCTTCTCCGGGCTGCTGAAATTTTCTGAAAAATCGTTCTTTTAAACGTCAGACCCATTTGCGGGGTGTGTAACGCATTCTATGTTGAACAGGGTTTTTTTAATTTGGTCGGGCATCGAGTCTTGCTCATCCTGGGTGGCTTCACATATATCCTCTACATTGGCTCGTACCTTTCATACAATACTGTCTTTGTCATCAGCGCAGGAGCAATCTTGGGTATTGATTCTCTCCAATCTCTAATATCTGGCAGAATGGCTTCCATCAAGTTAGTGAGATCTTTGGATGAGTTGGTCACTACAGAAACTATATATCAAACCAACCTTTCTAACCAAATCTCCCAGAGACCATGTGTTTTTTTAATTTAGAACATGATTTGAGGCTTGCATGGAACAAAGACAAGTTAACCTCAGTCCTACATCTCCAGGTGTTGGGGCGGGGTTTTTATGGACTGCACAAGGAGCGATCATGCTCTCGTATCCTGAGGAGGAGAACAAAGGCTTATACATCAGCATCTTCTGGACGATTTTCAACTGCGGTGCCATCATCGGCTCCGTTGTCTCCTTGGCAATCGAATGGCACAACGACAACAACCACGTCTCCAACGAAACTTACATTGCTTTTATGGTTATAATGGGAGTGGGGACTTCACTCACGGTTCTGCTGTTGCCGCCTAGCCAAATCCAACGCAGGGATGGGTCCCAATTAATTGCCAAAACCCAATCTACTAGTGTCTCGGCTGAGGTCATGGCCATCCTCAAGCTCTTCAAGGACTGGAAAATGCTCTGCCTTATACCAATGTTCTTTTCTTCTAATTGGTTCTACACTTATCAATTCAACGCTGTGAACGGTGGGGGAGTGTTCACTACCAGGACACGCGGCATGAATGGCACACTCTACTGGATTGCCCAATTGATTGGGTCCTTTTTAATGGGGCGTCTGCTTGACTACAAACATGCTGAAAGACGGAAACGGGCAGTTTGTGGGCTAAGCATCCTGTTTGTTGCAACCATGGCGATTTGGGGTGGTGGGTGGGCATTTCAGGATACATTCACAAGGGCGTCAGCCAAAACTTTAGATGTGTCAACCAAGATTGATTTGAGCGATTCAAGACGATATGCGGGTCCAGTGGTCTTGTACACCCTTTATGGTTCGTTTGATGCTATGTGGCAGACGTATTGCTACTGGCTCATGGGAGCTCTCACGAATGAAACCGAAGTTGCAGCTCGGTTGACAGGGTTTTATAAAGCAATACAAAACGCAGGAGCTGCGTGTGCTGGACAAGTGGACGCGAAGAAGGTATCGTATGCAGTGGAACTGCTCATCAACTGGGTGTTGTTAATTCTAGGAATCATTGTTGCCATTCCGGTTGCATTGTCGTTGAAGGACACTTTGAAAACCATCACAGCGAAGGACTTGGAAGACACTGGCGAGATGGAGAGTCAAGCTCCCGTTCCAGTTTCGACCTGGAAAGTGGATAAATGACATAGGAGGATTTGTTGAATAATGTCGGAAAGCTTTAAAGCCAGTTTGAAAATGCGATGTGATCGTTGAATTGTGCCCTTCACAATAAGCAAAATCAAAACAACGAGTATCACTTTCCAAGTACTTCGTACACATATTCCAAGTACTTCCAACAAATTTTCAGTGGCGTGTGTACTAGAAAGTTTCTTCCACGTTGGCTTCTTCATCGTTGTACATTATATTTTTCTGCTTCTAAACCTTAATGACCAAACTCCTCATCTTCTAATTGATTAGAGATCTGAGATTATGGATTGAAGAGTTCAGCTGCTTTGAGCCAGAAGTAACATAACACATTGCTAAATCAAAGTAGCCATCTTCATTTTCTTCTTGCGGTGAAACTATGAACACAACGGGGATGCGAGTAGCCTGGAAACTAGTTGTAGACTTTTCCTTGATGGAAGTCCAACAGAAAGTCTGATTTCATAGCAGTTGTGGGACCATATCTGTCTGCTTCGCAAATTGATGACGTTAGCTTTTGGCAACCCATACCCTTCATGATGCTTTCCACTTTTAAGTTCCTGATGCCTGACGTTTGTCCATCTCATTGCTACGGCAGAAATTTGATATATGTATATGTGTGCATATATACTCAAATTCCATAGAAATATCATTTTAACTCTTATTGATCTTTTCAATAGGAATAATGTTTTAAATTTTTTAAGATTTAAAAAAAATAAAAATAGGAACCATAGACAATAATTTATTAATAACTAGTACTGCCTACAAAATCTTGCATGTTTGATTTGTTTTTTAAAAAATATAAAAAATAAAATTATATTTGTTTCGGAAAAAAAAAAAAAAAAAAACATTCTAACTTCTATGTAAGATTCTATGATTATAAGATAAAATAAAAATGATTTTAAAAGTAAAGTATGGAAAAGCACAAAAAAATACATAATAAAGATAGTAGTGGAGTGACAATAGATATGGTAGGATATTTTTGTAATAAAATTACCTTAACTTGCTTTCACTCCTCATGATTACTAAACTAAATCTTTACTTTCTATCTTATTCTTTTATCATTCATTTGTCACCTTACATGATGTATATTTCCAACAACACATGAATAAATTTATTCTTACTTAATTAGCATAATTGGATTTTCTTTACCATATGTATGTTTTTATCAATTCATCACTTTTGTAGCAAAATTTGGCCCACACTCAATCAATCACACCAATGATCAAGTGCAATAAAAGAAGAAATAGTTGTTGAGAGGAGGTGCAAATGAAAGACACTAGCTCGTGCAAAATATAATATCACTATAAAAAAAAACCCCAATAAAGACAATTCAAGATTTGATTTGATTACAAATAAATCCATCAATTTTGGATTCATACACAAATCCATCTTAGGTTTACATGCACTATCCTATGACTATAAACTCCAAGCAAATGGCACAATGCCAAATCATGCAAGACAAAGGTGGCAACTTTCTTTCCATGTTAACATATTTTTAGCAAAATGTTAAAATGACCTATCTATTTACTAAATTGATTCACTCTATTGTAACCATCATTACAATCATGGCTCTCATCTCCACTTCTCCTCACTCCTAGCCTTCTTCATTTCAATCCCCCATTCTAAGCTCTCATCCCAACCCTTCTTGTTCTTCATGATAAAAATGGATTGATTTAATAAATGGGTGGGTAGTTTTAACATTTCTCTATTTTTGTTGATTTCAACAGTAGATGAAGAAAAAGGACATGGGAAAAACGCTTTTGTTTTTGGGAAGGGAGGAGCGGGGGGTGCTGAAGACCAGGAAGCCACTCTACGAACACGAGGAGAATAAGGGTACGAGACTCCGAGTTAAACCGCTAGATTCACCCTGAGTCTCACCCTGAGTTTCTGCTTCAGATTCAACCTCCTCGCTCGGAGTCGTCGCTTTGCATCGAAAGCATATCCACGCCCCCTTTCTCCAGTTTTCGCAATCTCTACAAACCCCTTTCGCTCCCTTTTTCCAGTTCTCGCAATCTCTACAAATCCCTTTCGCTTGCCTCTTGTCTCCCGCTGTGCCTTAACCCAATCATTCCGGAATCTTTCGCGGTTTACCTTCCAAGCGAAAGGGATCGCGACGTTAGAGGCTTGGATTCTGAGCACTCGCAAGTTGGGAGGGAGTCGATGTCAGAATCTGGGTTCTGAGGTCTCGATGATGGAGTTGTAGGGAGTCGACTATTGTGGTACGTTTTGTTTCTTAGTGGGTTTTTTCTCTTTCCGATTTGAAATCACTTCTGAAGCTCAGCGCGAATATCGCTTTAGCCACGTTACACTTGACGTAGGGACAAGAGTTTTGCGACATCTCGCGAGCAATTTGGCTTCTTGTTGAGGTTTTGTGGGGGATTGAAAGTTTATTGCTAGCAGTTGGTCGTTTCAAGGTTCGGGGGTGTGTAAACGGTTTCGTCGCAGCTATCGAAAGACCGTTTTGGGTTTTGAAGTTTAGAGTGAAAGCGATTGTAGTGTTTGGGAACATGTCGTTGGAGCTCGGTGAGGCTTCCCCCTCAAAGTGCTTGATGAATTTGTACAACTCTAGTTCGTGAAGTTGTCACTCCGCGCGATTGCCTCTTAGTTTCTTGTCAACAAAATTCAATATTCTCGATTTTGGCGGCAGCAGTTGAGAATGTGCTCAAGTGTTCCGTTCTGATTCGACTTTAGAACAGTCGCAGGGTGTTGTCACTCAAAGATGAGTGCAGATGTCAGTTACAAGACAGCTACGTTTCTAGAATTCTAGTATTGTGCTCGAATTCTTGTCTTCAACAGAGATCCAAGGTTGAGAAGCCACTTTAGAATTCTGCTATTTTTTCCTCAATGGGAGAAAAAATAGTGGATCATGAGATGTCGTTCTTGAGCTCGGATCTGATTTGTGAGATTCTCAACCGGGTGGATGTGCTGACTCTTGCGAAAGCGAACTGTGTGACCTCTGAATTCCGTTACGTATTTGAGAGCGAAGCATGTTGGGAAAGGCATTGCAACTTGCGTTGGCCTTCCACCAAACAGACTATTGCAAAGGATTTGATCTCGAAGACTGGGGGTTTCAGAAAATTCTATGCCAACTGCTATCCTTGTCTGTCCGGCAGAGGAGCAGTAAGGGCAGAATGCGATGACAAAGTTGAAAGCCTGGAAGCATGTCCTTTGAATTTTTTTTCAATCATAGATGTCATGTACAAGGGCCAGCCTATGCTCTCAAAAACCGTTCCAGTTCTTCTCGATGCCGATGACTCAATAGAATGGTTCGAAGATTATCCTTTTCAGCTTGATCTTAGCGTGATTCTCGACGAGGTCGTTGACTTCCATAAAGACGAAGGGGGTATTCCTACTTTGACGATTCAGACGGAACTCTCTGGCATGAAATCAGCGGAAACAAGTACAGACGGCAGTTTGTGGAGAGCTTTGAACGAAAACATGACAGTTAGTTGGATTTTAATCAATAAAAAGTCGGGAGAGATGGCCAATTTCGCTAGCTGGAAACCTTTGGGTGGATTACGGCACTGGCCAAGCGAAGATAACTTTGTGCTTCACTTTGGGACTATAATCCCCTCAGATGAACGTTTTCCCAATGACCCCGTACACTGCAATGTTACAGTGAAAGTCAGATTTTCCGTTACGGAGATCGCCTCTGCAGGTTCTAAAACCACAATTTGCATAACAGAGTGTGGCATGAAGCTAGAGAATGTCGATGGGGATCGGTTGCATGGGTTGGAAAGTGTAGAATTACTCAACAGGGCCTTGGGTTGTGGCCGAACCGTCTCCCTCTCCACTGTCTTGGAATCTTACCAGGAATTTGGTCTCAAGCAACTAGCTAGGAACGTGGAAAGGGTTCGACGAGAAAATCTGCGTGAACTGACGGCGGCAGTCATCAGCGGAATTGGTGTCTTTCTCTGTCTCTGCCACCTGCTTTTGTAACATAGCCTTGCTTGACACCTATTGAACTTATCCATGACAGATGCAGTACTTGCTTTGTAGAATACGAAGTGGCTGCTGTCACGAACAGCCCATTGTTACTACAGATAACAATACGTAACATTACCATCTCGACAAGAGTATTGTAAATCTCCCAGGAATGTTGATACTTTGTTACACTCTTTCCATGTTTACTGCATCGTTGTCTTCTCTTTCCCTACTAGTCTGGATTGCCTCGTCTCCTTTGTTTCACCAGTAGATTACAGTCGCTGTTACAACTGGAAGATTTAACAAAGAGGTGCCTATCGTCCTTCATCACTGCAAAGCTGGCCGTGGCGTACACCAGTCGTGCCATCATCGCACATCTCTGTGACACGACATCATTTCCCTTCGTGGTCAGACATTCTTGAGTCACGTTTCCTCTCATGCAGCCACTTACTCGAAACGCAACTCTCAATTCTGTCCCTGGAGTGCGTCATTTCAACGTCTTACCGCTAATAACCAACATCTCTGAATCTACTGACCGGACTTACCGAGCTGGAAGCGTCAAAAGAGGTAGTCAACACTGCCACCAGATGAGTCGATGGTTTTGGCACAATCTATTGAGAACTGCCACTCAGATGACTTGCAGTTCTGGAAGCATGTTCGAAGTCTGATCAAAAGGATACTCTCCGGAGATCGCAGTCGGTATCAACTGCAGTGTTGTAGCCTTCTGGAATCTAATCCATGGTTACGATTCTTCAGTTCAACAACGTAGATCCACCCATTTGTGCCGGATTGGGGGGGGCAGCAACGATGCTGATCAAAAAGCATCAATATCCATCGTGATAAAAAGACAGATACTGATGTGAAATCAACGTTAGGCTCCAATTCGGCATGAACTCCCCCTGTGTTCAGTACAACGAGATATTTGGCAATGAATTTGAACTGTTCCCATTCGATGCATGTGTGTAGAAGGTCTTTACGATGGCGATGTGTGGCCACACACACATGTGATGTGAAGATGAGGGTTCATACCCTACTTCGAGGTGCCATTCACTGAACCTGCCTTCTCACCGGCATACAATGTTTTTACACAAGTGTAATCTTTGTTAAGTTGTATTGGTATATATGCCAACAAAATATATGTTCTTTCTATAATACCAAAAATTCAAAAAGAAAAGTGTTTTTCTTTCAATATGACTTACAATTGTAGATGGTTTTGTTAAACTGAAAAATTTAATTGATTGTTTTTTGAATAATAAAATTACCAACATAATGCAATTTTATATAATGTTATAATTTTGATTCTTTATAGCCAACACTTATGCCATACATTATTGAAAAACACCATTTCTATATCACTTAAGTTTAAACATTATAGCTCATTAGAACTCAACTAAGACTTGTTCAATTTTTTTGCAATTTCTTATAAAGATGTGGTGGTTTTTTTTATGGTTTTTAAAAGTCTATAGAAAGAATTTGAAGATGTTTTTAGTATTTTATAATTTTAAGAACATTAAGAATTCATTTTTAATAATAGAAAAAAAACAAAAAGGGTTTGAAATTTTGATTGCAAAGTATTTGTATATTTGGCACACAAAGCTTCATCACAAACATGTTATAAAAAACATACACAATAATTTCTTTTTGACATTGTATTATCTAATTCTTATTGCAACTATAAGCATAACCACTGAGTTGTATGTCATGACTTTAAAACACAAACATATTAGTCCAGCATACAATATTAACTTCCTTGCCTAAGCAATGTCCAATATCATGGAGTGTTTAAAAGTCACATACCAATCCTATTCATGTTTGTAATCAAGTCAATCTAAAATAATTGTATGTGACATCTAAATATTTTATAACAATAAACTTATCCTAGCCACATTTTGCTCCTTACTTACATTACTTAGAACAACATATGATATTGGAAAGCTATACATCAAAATAAAATCACCTTTTTTCTCAATTCAGTTAATAAAGATTTCCTATAGCATTAATAAAATTTAATAATTTCAAAGCTTTTCTCATAATAACAATGTGTTCTTTGCTCATATTACTTTTGAAGCATATGCAATGTTAGAAAGTTACAAAAATAATTATATATTTATGCACTCAATTCAATCAACAAAGATAATATACCTTTTTTGCAAAAAATTGAGTTACAAAGTTTATAAATTTTTTGGTTCATTAATATTTTATTATATGTGGATTCAAATTTTAACAAAAATATTGTGTTGTCATTAATGACTTAATACTCTAGACATTACATATAATATTTCAATCAAAATTCTAGTACATTATAATATTTTTTAGAATACTTAAAAATCACAAATACAAATAATTATGCCACAAATAACCAATCAAAAATACTTTTAATATGTTGTGCACATACAAAAAAAAGACTCAATATAATTAAATTTTGTTACCAATAATACAAAAGATGACATATTATACAAAACATCCAAGTCTAATAAGGATTGGCACACAAAACAAAAATAGGTTCCCACGCACTGTCAAGGACAAGAACATGATAAAAAAAAATAAACAAGTAAGACTTCTCTCAAAAAAAGATGACAAAATAGAAATAACTTGATATGTATATTAAGAAAGAAATTAGAATGGCTATTGCCAAAAGCCAAGAAAACTAGAGATCCTTGAAACTAGACTAGAAGCAAGAAAGGAATTGATAAGAGTGAAGAAGGCTTCACTCTTGTTTCTATATATACTATCTAACTAGGGGCTACATGGTGATCTTCTATAAGACCTCCAATATGTGTTGACTTTGTAAGACACATGCCTTGACTTACAAGGCAAGTTTTTCTACATATGAAAATTCTTTTGCCATTAGTAGAGTTTGCATACCATAATTTGGTACATTTTTCTACTCAATAAATATCTTATTTTATCAATTATAATTACTATCTATAACTTAATACTTTTGACTTTTTAAAAGTTGATAATTTTGTGACAAAAAATTTGAAAAATTATTTATTTGAACTATATATAATAATAAATTTGTAATTAAAAGAATCTTAAGAATGACAAAAAATCAATGCAAATTCTTATTGCAAGGAACAACCATAATTTAACATTAATGAGAAGATATAGTTACTTTGTTGCAATATCAAGACTATTCGCCCTTGTGATAAGTTAGAATATTGTAGGCTTGGATTTTTTTTTATTTGTAAATAATTCAATTATATTACTTATCAATTGTATTTACCAAAATCTATACAGATTCATCTCATATTCTATATATCTTTTTTTGAGCCATATAAGATAATTAATATCTTAAAAAGAAGACAAACGCTACCTCTTCCTATAGAAGTAGATAATAATTAAGAGTTTAAGGTAGAGAAAGTCTTAGATTTAAGGCAATGTAAAAATAGATTAAAATATCTTGTTCATTAGCATAGATATGATATTAGTGAATGTACATGGAAGCTAGCAAAGAATCTTATAAATGTAACAAAGAAGATTGAAGCTTTTCATCAATAACATCCATCAAAACCAAGATGAAAAAGAGCAAATCTTTGCTGTAAAAGAAATAAGATCCAAAAAAGATAGTATTCTATCTTTTACTCTTGTTTGCAATTTTTGTGTATTTATGACACTAAGAAGATGAAGAACCAACAACCAACAGATTCAACTTAAGAGCTTTCACTTACTAACTTACTAGATGAGATATTGGAGTTATGACAACCTTTAAGATAATACAATTGAGATGAAAATCCTTGAGAATAACATGTCTTTTCTTGAATATATGGCAAGATACAACATATTTGATATCATGACTTTGGAAAAGACTTCTAATGTTTGGTGATTTTATTTAAGGTAGAAATGACTCTTGTTGGTGTTTCAAATGTTTTATTTGAAGGGAGTTTTGAAGGCTTCAACAACAATCAAACAACATGGTAGTCTTCTTGCCTTAGTATAGGATACTATCAATGACTAAGAGGACTGTCATGGACATACTCATATAAGCTAGTAATTACATATACAAATAGGTAGAAGTAAGTAAAAGTAGATAAAAATAAGTTAATTCTATAGTATTTAATATAGTAGCTTCTAAGAAGCTTCATAGACGCTGTTTTGACTTCATAGGTATCTTTAATTGATTTTTTGGATTAGAAACGTGCTCAACAAGTTGGCCATGTGCCACACATGTTAGCTTCAAGATCAAGCTAACTATGTAGCCCACACGTAGAAAAACTTGCCTTGTAAGTCAAGGCATGTGTCCTACAAAGTCAACACATATTGGAGGTCCTATAGAACATCGCCACGTAGTCCTTAGTTAGATAGTATATATAGAGACAAGAATGAAGCCTTCTTCACTCTTGTTAACTCCTTTCTTGCTTCCAGTCTAGTTTCAAGGGTCTCTAGTTTTCTTGTCTTTTGGCAATAGCCATTCCAATTTCTCTTTCTATATACATACTTGGTTATTTATATTTTAATACCTTTCTTTGAGTGAAGGCTCACTTATTTGAATTACTTTTTTTATCGAGTTCTTATCCTTGAAAGATTGACAAGAGTACACCTACAATATCAGAGCTTTTTCTAATCTTGATTAAGAGTGGATTATCTCTTTTTTTTGATAAGATATAAGCATATTAGAAGTTGCGGATCACCCTCTTCTAAACTGATATTGTTCTTAGTATTTTCTTTGTTCTCAAGTCTTCTCTTCTATTTGTCTTGAGTGATATTAGATATCTTCTCTTTTCTAAGTGTTATCATGGCAGAACTTGTTGAAATGAAGAATGCAATGGCACAAATGCAAGAGCAATTGAGGGAGTTAATGCTTGTGATGCATCAACTCAATTTACCACCACAAGGAACAACAAGATTGGCAGGAAGTGAAGATATAGAAATGGTTGTAGCTGCTTCAACATCTGCACCAAACTATGTCTTTTCTCTTATGGTGGAACATCCTTCCAGTGTTAGAAAACCAAGAATTATCCTACTCGAGAAGTTTGATGGCACCAGATCCAAGTTTTGAGGATTTATCAATCAAGTGCAACTTGTGATTGAACTTCAATCCCAAAGCTATCCAACTCCAAGATCTCAAATTAGATTCATTAGTACGCTTCTTTCAAGTTCAGCACTATCGTGGTTTTCATCTTTTTTTGAACAACGAGATCCAATATTAGATAATCTAGAGGCTTTTCTAGTGGAGTTTCGATCTATGTATGGAGAATATGATGTA